GACTGCCCACACAGGACTCCGTCACGTGGATAAAGCATCTCTACGCATGGTTCCCATCCGGCTGTTTTCTTCTGCATCACGGGACCATTGGCAGGGAAGTTGGCACCGATGACTTTAACCTTGAAAATAAAGCTATCTCCCTGTATGCTTAAATTGAAGAGAGAAAAAGAAATTTATTCAGATTTTCTATACTTTAATTGAGGGGCTACTTGTGTTGGTCAAGTAATTATCGAAAGGGAAGTTATTGCTATATGACACTGTAAATATTGCTCATTACCAAATCGTAAAAAGAGGACGCCCTCTACTCTACCTTGTGTCCTGGTGAATGGTAAGATAGCCTCCATCCTCGTAGATTTGGGTTCTTTCCCAAGTGAATCCTTCAGGTAAAGAATCCTTGAAGTAATCTGGAATCCCTGAGACATGCTTGATGAAGGTTTTGCTTCCATACATGCAACAAGGTGCCAAAATATCGTACGCAAATGGTAAGGGACCTCCTTCAGTGATTCTTATCTTTTCCACCTGGGTACCTCTAAATATGAAAATAAATAAAAACCCATGAATTTGTTTAATGGCTTTTATCTGTACCCTATATTTCGAACTCACTTGAAGTTAGAATACACTTTAGAACTAACAAGAGACTGCTGTCATGTTAAAGGTGGTGATGGTGATGATGGTGATCATGATGGTGTCGGGATGGGGTTCAACAGCTAACTGACAATTGGTCTAACAATTAGTAGCTAATTTACAATCTGGTACCCACTAACCACACCCTATTTTGCATCTTTAACTTAGTCAGATATAACGACAAACTGAAGACGCAACATTTGTTCATACGACATTCTTCAAATAGATAATCAAAAGCGATAAACAAGAATTGAACATACGCAGAGCCCGCAATTTGTAGTTTAAAAAATGAAACAATTGCGCACTTATTCAAATAGATAATCAAAAGCGATAAACAACAATTGAACATACGCAGAGCTCGCAATTTGTAGTTTAAAAAATGAAACAATTGCGCACTTACTCAAATGGCTTGCCTTTTCCTTCTCCTACGCACTTGAAGTGGTGACCATTTACTGTCCCTTCCATGGTCATCTTGATGCACATATCCTTCTTAACCAATGAAGACTGATCGAGAATATTAACGCAGTTGAGTATATTAGTAACATATATATGCATTATCAAAGCACCATACGTAAGCATAGAAGAAAAGAGGGAAACAACATACCATTGTGAGTAAGAATCTTACGCAGATCTTGTCTTGTAAATGTTAACTGTTCTTCCTGCGGGATCCTGGCGAAAGTGGTAAAGAGAAAGGGCTCTTCTTTATTTATAGGGACATATTACGTAATAAAGCAGTGACAAAATGGTTGGCATTACACAAGCACGTTCCATATGTTTTTTGTCAATCAATGCTTATAAAAATAGTCAATTGCGAAAATTCGGTCGCTTTACAATACCTCTGTCAATCACCAAAACTCGATCAATTACGAAAACTCTCACAGGGAGCCCGGCTTGGTGATGCTAAATCGGTAAAGACGATCACGTTTCATATGTTGATGACATTACATAATAATCGTAACTCAATACACCCCTATACAAACGGTCAATAGTATTAGACGCCCCGTAAGAAGAGAGAAAGGAGAGAAGCTTCTCTCCTTTCTCTCTTCTTAACGCGTGCGTTACATATTTGAATTTGAATTTATCACTGTATTACGTTACGCGTTACAAACACTGGTGTAGTGACCGTGTATTGAGTTACGATTATTATGCAATGTCATCAACATATGAAACGTGGTATTTATTTTTATTTATTTTTAATTACCGATTTAGCATCACCAAGCCGGGCTCCCTGTGAAACTCTGTCTATCACCAAAACTCGGTCAATTACGTAATAATAAGCACGTGTTTGGATCTTTTCTCAAAATAATGACTATCTAGGCAAAAAACAGAAGTGGATTCAGTTAAATTGACTATTCGCGAACTGTACTTTATGGTTTAGATTGAATTCTACTTTTTGAGTTGAATGTACGCAAAATAAGAATGTCATTCATAAGCGTTTGTAATGCCCCGTCGTCACATATATCATGCACATGGCTGATGATTACATCGAACGAATCCAAAAACGTGACTTTTCGATTATCTGTTGTCCTGATCTATCCTACAGTGAAAGACTAATATAATGACTGCTTCCTGCTTATCGAGCCTGGCCACCTTTCGACAGGCCGTAAGCCACAAACTGCAATGTCTGCTCCCTGCATTCAACGTAAAC